CCTTTAGGCTGACCGTGCTGATGAGTCTCTAGGGAAGTTTCGGGGAGGTCAGGTGCTGCACTCACACCAGTTTTAGAATGACAAACAGAAAAGGTACCAGGGCAGACACAGGCCTGGGCATAACAGGTGTGGGCAGGAAGGTGCTGGTTTATTAGACCCATAGGTATAAGCTCCAAATTACAGAAAAAAAATACATCAGCTCTGCTGGACTCTGCTGCTTCATGCGGTTGCCTGAGTGACAGTGAAACAAGAATGGGCGCTGGCTGAGCCTTAATCCTGCAGTGGGGACCCAGCCGTCCCCCTCTGCCCCCCTCTTCAGGGGAAGGTTGCTCTGACGCAGCACTGGGCCTGCGTGCTGAGCATTGCAGGGAGTCGATGCCGTCACAAGGAACTGTGTGTCCCCCACTCTTTGAGCCCCCAAGAGGTTTGGAAAGCAAAAGAGACCAGTCCTCAGGAGTCAGGGCAAAGCAGAAGGAAGGAAGTACCGTTGGGGGGTGGGGTGGGGGGTTAATACCGTCCAGGAAGGGCAGGTGGTCCCACAAACCTCCTTTCTGCCTGAGAGCGGGGACGATGGTTCCTCCTTCTTCTGAGAACCCCTCCAGGCAGCTTCTGGCCCCAGCTGTCCCCTTGCAGAGCCCAGAGTAGGTCACTGTGACCTGGAGCCTCAGACCCCTCCCCCTTTCCTGCGCAAAGCCCGCAGTGCGTGCGCTGAAGCTAACCTTTGGTGGCTCGGATCCTCAAAGGTCTGGAAAGGGGGTGCAGGGGTACCTCAAGGCAGGGAGTCCCTCTCCGGGACCCTTCAGGAGGCCCCAGGGGCTGGTACTGCGGGCAGCTCACACTGGCCCCCGAAGCTCGGAGGTCACATTCAAAAAGCAAAATTAACAGGACACACAGTGCCTGGCTGGAAAAACCCGAAAGGCTGGTTCTTTTCCCCAATTCGGTGGCATTCCCACGAGAGGCCCCTACGCACCACCCAGACCCCGCCCTCAGGTTGGGGGGTGGCTCGTCTCTGGCCGGAAAGGCCCTGGGGGACCACCCAAGGAGGAATCTGTTGGGGCGACCCACGAACCCCTAGGGCTTGGGACTCTGCAGAGCCCTCCCCCACCCCTCCTGCCGCACTGCGCCCTCCATCCTCGCGGCCCGCGGGGCCTCCCGGGGGTGTGATCGCTGCCCCAGGGCCGAGGGCCGCTCCCACGTGGTCAGGGACATGATGGCATTGCATGGCTGTGAGGCTGACACAGGAGGGGGCAGCGTTTCATTCTGTTGTGCAAAAGGCCACTGAGTCAGAACCAGCTAAGGATCTAACAATATGCAAAGGTACATGGAAAGCCACGGGGAAGGTTATGTGTCTACTTGGCTCGGCCATGATTTTCAGTGGTTCGGCAGTTAGGTGATGATGTTGTTTTACAGTGATGTCATCACCCTCCATTTTGTGACCGGTTGCAATTATCCTCCATTTTGCGATGTGTTGTAATCCTAAGCCTCTGTGCCTGTGGATAAGGAGCTCTAGTGGCTCTGTGAGTTAGGTGTTGGGCTGTTCAATCTACCAGTCATTCCATAGGGCAGAGGTGAGGCCGTCTGCTCTTCTAAGGCTTTACAGTCGCAGAAACCCTGTACAGGGTCACTATGAGTTGGAATTAACCTGATGACATGGTAGGCCTGTGGCTGTGGTCCCATTTGGGAGTGAGTTAGTTGTCCACTACGTTAATGAGCCAGGATTAGAAAGTATCCTGAAATACTTATTGAAGAGGGTGGCTCAAACCACACCCTTATTTAAGTCACACCTTTCATCTTACAAGAGACAAAAGGCAGAGAAGGGCGTAAAGGCGACGTAAAGGCCTTCTGGCAAGAAAATAGAGCTAGGAGTGAAGTGTGTCTTTGGGACCCAGGATTCCTACGCTAAGGACCTCCCAGACCTAGGAAACAGAAAGAACTGGAACACCAGACATGGTGAGAAGCAGTGGGAGAAAGAGGTGGCGAAAGCAGCAGCAGAACCAGGAGATGGCATGGTGCGCCTCCAGGCCCACCAGGTGAAAAAGCCGAGCACTTTGGGGCAGGAGCTTTGCTGGTGCAGAGGGAGCCTCCAGACATCTGTCAGTGGAGCTCAAGTGCATTGTCACACTTGCCTGAGTGGGGCAGAGGGGCTGAAGGGCAGAGAGGGGCCTGCCTGCGAATATGACTGAGAAAAGGCTGCCCAGATTGAAGAACTGTATCCTAGACCTTTCTGATCCTGAATTGTAACCCATGAACTGCCTTAATAAATTGTGTGTTGTCTTTGTGGCCATATGGGATTCCAGAATCCAGCAGAGAAGCAGGGAGTGCTTTGAGAGGGATGGCTGTGTCAGACTTGGTAAAAAAGCTGGAGAGAGGAGCTATGGCTGACCC